GCGGTTTAATGCCAGATTTCTGATCCACTGCTGTCTGCTACGCTGATGTGCAAGTAAAACACAAGCTATTTTCTTAAACTTCTCAGTACTGGAGTACATCCCATTCTCCCTAATGTTCATGTGCAATTTCCTTCCAATGAGGCAAGTGCAAATTATTGCACATTCATGTACTTTCTGAGCATCACACACACCCCGCACAAACATTCCTGCCATCTGAAATCCGACTCGAGACAACAGATATCGAATGATTGTGATATTTCTCAGCTAGGAGCTGCTAAATCCTGTTCAATCTGCTTCTTAATTAAGACTTGGTGATTCTTTTATTCTAATTGCCCTATAATTGCTAAAGCAATTAGTTTGATGTCAGTTTTGATTCGGCTGCATCCGGCGCAGTTGACAAGACACTACAGCAGGGCTGTAGGTGGGCACGCACCATCTGTGCCAATGGTGCACCCGCTTTATTTTCTGAGGGCAACATTTTTCTATGAACACAGGGAAGCTCCTTGGGCCTTCTGCCGGGGTTTAATGACTTCCCGCAATGCTCCTTCTGAGCACGCAGCATAAAACGGGCTCAGCAGCAGAGCTGCCAGTGCTGGAAATGGAAGAAAGAGGTGACGTTGTGGGGACGCGGAGAAGCTGAGGATTGTGAACAGAGTGGAGAAAGTGTCAGAAAACATAAAGAAGAGTTAGTTTCAGAGACAAAGGCAGGAGGATGAGGTAAGAGGCAAGGGGATGACGCTGACACTGAGACATGTCCAGGCTGCGTACCTGCTTTCCTCACAAAGTGACCCTTTATGGCCAAACTGGCCCTACACCAGCGCTGGCAAGCCCCAGCGATGACCTTGCTACGACCAGGAGCTCTGTTTATGTCGCATGTGCGTGAGCACAAGAGCGGGGATGCACCCAAGGCTAAAATCAGTGCCGGGTTTTGGAGCCTGCCCCACCCCTGCCGTGGAAAGCTCTGGCCGCAGAGAGACGTGAGGGGGCTGCCAACAGCTGCCTCCAAAAACACACAGAAAGTGTGAGTCCTGCTGATAGAGGAGCTCTTCACGGCCTGAAACCGGCACAGGCTGCCCGGTGTGGGCTGAGCGCGTGTCCCCTGCCGCACAGGCACAGCAGCGCTGGAAGGGGCAGCGGAGGAGCCGGTGTGTGGGACCCGCTGGAGCGTGCGCGAGCAGGATCAGCCCCAGGACTGGCCTCATGGGAAATAACGACGTCCCCTCGCCCGCGAGATACTATTTCTGTTTGGCTTATTGGCTTTTGGGCTCAGGAACTGTGGGATGTTATGGAAATCTGCAAAAGTGCTAATCAGACAGCAAATTTCAAAGAGGGGAAAGAAGGGCTGGCAGGCAGGGACTAGAGATAAAATGGCAAACTTGGAAACCTCAAGCATTGTTCGGGAAACTCATCTGGAAATGAATCAAAACTGTCTTTGGACTTGGCTAGTTGGGAGAAAGGAAGTTTAACTAGAAGAGATCAGTGCTGATTCAGGACAAAAAAATACTTAAAAAAACCAGTCTGGGGCCTTTTTTCCTGCTATTGTGAATGTATTTTAATGAGACTTCATTTTCATTTTTGACTGAACTGTTACGAGCTCTTAAAGCTACCTAGGGCACTGAAATAACTTTGCAGTAATGGGAAGCACAGTTCAGGCTGGCATTACTTGAACTGCTTCACGCACAACGAGCGTGGGAGGGCTTGGTTTTTATATGCATGGAGGAAAAAAAAAGGGGTTTAGAGCACAGACTGGATTCACATGTTGCTGCCCTATTAACAATGCTGACGAGCCATTAGAGATGTCCTCCCAGGAACATGTTACAGCCATTTCCAAAATGTCTTGGTGAGGCTGGGGTGGGAAAAGCACAGAAAACAGCTGCTTATCCCAAGTGCCTGCAAATTTTGGGATGATTATCTATTTGCATTCTCTGAAGAACCAAACCTCAGCTCCAACCCACATTCAAAGCTTTGGGAATCTTGGACCCAGAACTAAAAGCTGAATTCCAGGATCTTAATTTTCCTTTAACTCCCGGTTCCCTGATCCTCTGAGGAGCCAGGCACAATGGTACCACGGTATCTCACGGGGGAGGCTTTTTTTTCAGCATTTTCCACCAAAGCCATAGCAGAAAGTACAGGCATGGACCGTTTTATCTACGATTCTCACTCAGCTCTGCAGACGGAGTTCTGCATGGATTGTGCAAACACTGCAAGTTTCCTATGAATCCAGTCTCAAGCAGCAAACCTCCTGCTAGTTCTCCAGCGTATCTCCTGCACGCACCAAGCTGAACCTCCCCTGTCAGAGCCGTGGCTCCACTGCCTTCAGGTGCCCTCCACATGTTCAGACCACTAGTGACTGTGGCTTGCAGCTCCTTCCCAGTTGAAGACAGCTCCTTCAAATCATTTTCCCCCAAAACACAAATGGACGGACTGTTAGGCAGAGCATTAACACGAAACAAATGTTTCGAGCATGTAGCGTTGACTTACAAGGGAAAATACAAGCACTTGGAATTTTTCCACTGCACAACGGCAGGGACCTTTGCAGCAGCTGTTTCGAATAGACGTTGTGATTAATGGGGATAATTCAGGAATGAAAACCAGACCCATCATCACACGTCTGACAGACCGGTGCTACAGGCAGGCGGGCAGCCCCCTTTTTTTTTTTAACCAAGAAATGCCTCTCTGAAGGCAACAGAGTTTGATCCAGAGGAACGCGAGGCACATGGGAGGCGTCTGATTATCGCTAGTATTTAAATCAGGGCCCTGAGCTGAAACCAGCCCGCACGTAAGGAGGTGCCGGCCGTCTGACTGCAGCGGCTCCTTGCTCATTCGCGTGGCGGGGAAGGTCCCAGCTCTGCCAATCCGGCCTGAAAACCCTTTGGACAGCTGAGCTCGTGTCTCCCTGGGACAAAGGACCTCTCCAGACATTTCCCTCTGACCAATTCTATTCCTTCGCCATAGCTGAGCTGGCAGCACAGTTTCTCTGCTGATCAGCTTCCCCACACTCACTGTGGAGCACATGTGATGTGAAAGTCTCCTGGAAATCAACTCTTTACTGCACTCCAGTATGGAAACCGTCTGCTTTTCAGAAATGGGAAATAGGCTGCAGTAGGAAGTGCGGCGACAGTCTCACCGCCACGGCTTCAGGATGAGCACGTGAAGCAAGGAGGGGACTGCGAACCCAGCGAGCAACGTGAGCCCCTGCTGAGGACCCCTCTTCTGCAGGCGGATGGAAATGCAGGTTCGGCTGGTGGGCCGTCAGCTCTGCAAAGGGCCACGGCCACCCTGCAGACCTGCTCTGCCCACACCCCGTCCTTCCTCCTCCCTCTGCGGCGCACGGCACGGCAAAGCCCGGTCACGGTTTGCACCAGCATCGTCTGCACCACCCCAGCCGCAGGGACAGCCGACCGGTCCCAGACCCGCCACGGACCCCGGACAAGCCTGCGGTGACGGGCAGCTCCCGACCAGGCACCCCAGGGAAGGGCAGGACACAGCCAGCTAATGGCGAGGAGCTCCTATGTAACGTGCCCAAGTCTCCAGGCCCGCGTGATAAGACTTTTTCTTCTTTTTTTATTTTTTTTCCCTGAGAAAGCCTTCTTGCACAATGTCCATTTTTAGCACAAACTGGCGTTGGATCAGATGCCTCACATGTGGTCTCCGCTCTCCAAAAGGAGAGATCAGCACTTTCTTTCTCTCCAATGGTTTAACTATAGGCACAAAAACTGAAGATTAAAAAAAATTCACTATTTCCCTCTTTTCTGCTCTTACAGGCTGGATAGTCGTGCTGCATCGGCACAGCCATCCGCATTCACTCCTGTAACTTTCCTTTCATAATACTGGCTAATTATGTCAGCTAAAATGAAAGATTATGAACTACAAAACCACAGGCTTTAGGACAAAAAAGTGATCATCAGCTGGAATCAGAACACATTACGATATGTATGAGGACAATACAGTATCACTTCTGTGGCTACAGAAAACACTTTGGGAAAAGAGATTTTTCAAAGGCTTTTTCAAGGCTCTCCCCTGTGGGTATAATGGGGTGTCCTCCAATTAACTGCTGTGGAATCAATTAAGTTATTGCTCAATTCTTCTGGGAAATTCCAACCAGAACTGGCAAGTGTTGGAGATAAAGCACTGAGCAGATGGACTGCTGATGTGCTCTGAGATGCCAAATATATTCCTTCTTGTTACCATCGGAAGACAGTCAGGCTTCTGGGACAGACATCCCACCTCTCCTTCTAAGATCTGTCTGGCCAGTGTGGAACCATGGGGATGCCTCCCGTGCAAGAAGCGTCACATACCAACAGGCACTGATGTGAGCAGCCCCTGCCCCAGCATCACTGCCCCTCCCTGCAGCGCTCTCGCGCTCAAGACAGACAATGCTGAACTGGCTGGCGACCGTCAGTACGGCTGCGCGAGCTGGTCAGGGAAAACAACAAATAACTGGAATGGTTTCCAAAACCTCAAGCCATTCTGGTTATTTTTCAAGTCCCTCACGGCTCTCTTCTCAAACACGGTGAAAATGTTAGATCGTGCTCTGGCCTTACGAAAGGCCTGCCGCAAAGTCTGATCTCACCAAATCCCCTGGCAAAAGTGGAGAAGCAGCTGAAATTAAGGTTGCTTTTCCACACTTGAACTTTTCAATATACTGGAGTTTGTCAACCATTAGTGACCATTCAAGTGGCAATGCTGGCAGGTATTTAGGTCCTCGGCTGCCCCACGCATCCCTCAATATCCCTGCATTCAGTGCCGAACTCGCACCCACAAAAGCAGTGATCTGGTTCTCTTACTCTGAGATAGCTGTACATGCAGATGGACATCCAGTTGGTGAGCATCTTCTCCACCACAGATTCCGTTCTCCTCAGCATCAGCTTGGGGTTTTTGGAAGCTGAAGCATCTATTAGGTCCACCAAGAGGTCCTTCATGATGCTGGTGTAATACTCCAGTTTCCCATGCAACGCAATTGTAAGCAGGGAGGCAAGGTTACATCTGAAACACAGAATTGTGTATGACTCAAGCACCAACCCAACAAGATTAAATTGCTGACTGGCATAAAAAAACCCCAAACACAAAGGCAGTATTTCAGACAATTTTCATGAGCCTTCTTAACGGTGTTAAAACTTGAAACCCTCTTTTAGTGCTGCAGGACCTTGTGTCTGCTTGTACCATTTTACTGGTAATCCAAGTGTTCAGGGATGCAAGCACTCATGAGCAAGTCCCTCATTGTACCTTTTGGTGCTCTTCAGCATAACAGAGGTTTATGACCATCCATTTCTAATAGAAAAATGGGAGGCAATTGTAACTCAACCGTTCACTGAAATGCATGGCTCCTGACACGGGCTGGATTGCCTACAGTTTAGGAATAAATCAGTCTCCTCCAGCTGCCAGGTCTTTGGCTCGGAAGCTCATACCTGTCTCGAACAGCAAAGTCCTTCTGTTGCTCGAGAGCGTGGACAAACACGATGAGAAAGTGCTTGTTGTTGAGCAGGGTGGAGAACAGTGAGATTCCTTCTTCCATGTTTGGTCTGCAGTTTTCAGGGATCTAAAGAAAGATTTGGAAAGCGGAGTGAGAAAAACCCTGCCTGTTGTTTTCCTCCAGCTTTTATCCTTCCTGACCGCAAGGATGTCCCTAAAAAACCCCTTACTCCCTTCTGCTTGACACGTCAGCAGCACACTTTCCTGGCCAGGGGACAACTGCATCTGGGTCTGTATCAGAAGCAGCTTGGCCAGCGGGGCAGTGGCAGTGACCAATCTCTGCTCAGCACATGTGAGGCTATCTGGAGTACCGTGGCCAGCTTTGGGCTCCCCGCTATGAGATGGACATTAGCAAACTGGAGCAAGTGCAGCTGAGGGCTGCCAAAACAATTTGTGGGTGTATGAGGAGAGGTGGAGAGGGCTGGGTTTAGTCAGCCTTAAGAAGAAGTCGTAAGGGGAGATCTTACTGCAGTCCTCAGCTGCCCCATGGGAGGGTAGAGAAGAAAGAACCAGACTCTTCTCTGCCAGCACAGTGCTAGGACGAAAGGCAAGGGGCACCAGATGGAGCATGGGACACTGTTTAAATATAAGGAAGGAAATTTTCACCTTTAAGGTGGTTGGACACAGGAACGGGTCCCCAAGAGGCTGTGGGATTTCCATCTTTGATGATATCTGACACAGCTGGACAAGGCCCTCAGCAACATCACCTCGTTGGAGCTGCTTTAAGCAGATCTCCCTTCCAACCTAAGCAACTCTCTGATGCTGCAATTCCTACTTCTTGTCCACATGAAACCCATCTCAGGGACAACAGCAGCTTTTGCCAAGTCCCTGCTTTGGAGGAACATAATTTACGATGAACGACGTATGGGACTGAAGGGACATACAATACGATACACCCAGGAAGAAAAGCTCACAGTGGAGCTGGGGAGGAGCTCAGGATAATGTTCCTTCATGTGAGAGCAGTTCCACAGATCTGCCTCCTCCAGTTAGCCAGAGCTGACCCGAAGCTGGTATGTGTTAAGTTGTTCTGAGTGATCAAGCATCCCCACATACCGCAAGAAAACGCGTAGCATTGCCAACACACGCAACTACGGTTATCAACCACTCAAGAGCATTGGTTTGATTAGCAGGTTACTCACTTTCCATTCCCCCACCAGCAGTGGATGAGTTTCCTGGACCTGGGAGCCCACCTGGGAGCTGAGCTGCTGGGATGGCAGGATGTAGCACTCCTCGTAGAGCGAGGAACACTGCAACCAAGCACAGCATTAGGGGAGGGCAGCTGCACCTGGCCAGGGACCCCCTTGTTTGCCCATGCATCGCAATGGAACGAGACAGGCGTGTAACTGTGACTGAAGACCACCCGTTAAGAAGAAATGCCTTGGTACGGTTTACGAAGCCTTTAAACACTTTGCAAGAGCCTCTTGAATGAGCAAACACCACAAGAGTGGGGGGAGGCAGCTGTCTGCGCAGACACAAGGCTGTTAGAGTAGGGAGGCTGCAAATAGACTAATTGGACAGCAAGAAAAATCCCAGAAGAGAAAGCATTATAGAAGACTAAGTCAAAATAAAGGAGTACTGGGTGTTTTAACATATGTAACTTTTGAAACAGATGGGAAAAATGTTTAAATCTCTAACATTCCTCTAGCAGCCTGAATCTTAAAGACTTCAGTGTGCAGATATATAGACATTGGATAACTTAAAAACCTGAGTAATAACTACTAATGAAACACTCCGCAGTCATAAATCATCATCTCACTCCTCACCACTGAAATGCAACTGCCTCAGGGGTGAAATATAGCCGCTGTTACGGGCGCACAGCAACACAGCGGAGCAGCCGGTGACAGGAATTACGGCGCTGGTGTGTCTGGTGTGTCCCAGGAGAAGGACACTGGGTAGACAGACTGGGCGCCCGAGTGGTGTCTTACTGGAAGCATCACGCACCCAGCCTTTGACAGAAAGGAGAAAAAGGGGGAACAGAGACATCCAACGAGCTCCTGAGGACTGGCAGAGCAGCCAGCAATGTTTGGTGGCATGCTGCATGGAACAAAAAGCCCCTTTCCCTGAACACTGATGGGAGATACGCCCTTCAGCCTCTGCTGAACAGCATGGGGTGACATTGGAGTCCCTAGAGAGAAGGGGGAGTCCCCAGCACTTTCTGTTCATGGGAGAGAGCACTGTCAGAAGAGAGTGTCCAACGGCATCAAACGGGTGAGCCAGAACGACTCCCAGGACGGCGTCACCGCTGGGCTCCCATCATGTGTGAGCAAGCTCGACCTTATTCACACCCCAGGAGCTGTGGCTCCACTTTTGACGATAATTCAGGCTGAAATACGTGACAATTAAATACATAGCAGTGGAATGATTTTGTTACACTGTAATAACCCTTTAGCAGAGGGAAAGCAGAGCCCTGATCTGGTTAGGAAGGACCAGGGAGTGATTAGGTGCCCGTAAAACGCGGTATTGCCTTACTTTGGGGAAGAAAGTCCGGGTGACAAAGTGCTTGTACTCCAGGAATGGGATCCCCTGGCTGCGGTTTAACTCCTTGGTCAGGTCTGTCATGTCTGTCTGCAGTTCCGCAAAACCTTACACAAAGAGACCCGCAGATGGTAAGAGCTCCGATGCTCTACCAGCTGAGACAGTAAGCAGGCAGGCTGGCACTGCAACACGCGGCATGCCTCATCTCTGCCTCCTCAAGCCTTCCCCTCGAGTGGGCTGACACAGGCTTTCTCGAGGACCAGCAGGCTACCAGCAGGATTAAACCGTCAGTGTTATACCTCACGTCCTGAACATTTCCCTTTCTCCAGCCCTCGTCTGGTCCCACAGGACCGCAGCCTACGCCGCAGTCGCTACTGCGGGGACGGCAGAGGCAGACACCTGGATGGCTTCTCCCATTGCTCTAGCAGGAACGTGCTGCAATATTTGTTACACCCAGTCGTAAAGCTCACTAATTAGTGTGGCCTTTAACTCACATGGCCAAGGGCCATTAATCCCAAGACTGGGAAACCAATGGCACTGAAGATCAGTGGCTTGCCCAAGTCAGGCAGCAAGACAACGGCAGAGCCACACTTCCAGCTGCTGAGTCTCATTCACTGCCAAAGCTCAAAGGCAACGACAGAAATTCTCCTCTAAATAATCCCATAAAGGTCTACAGAGTAGAAGGGGAATGTCTTCAACCCTGCTATCCCAGCATCTCCCTCCTAGTCCTGGCTCCTCCTCAGTGCTCAGCGTGACGACCTACCTTTGCGGATTTCCTCCCGGATCTGCGACTCCATCTCCTCCATCTGGAGCAGGGTTTTCTGCCAGTAGCGCTCTGCTCTGCGGCTCTTTGTGCAAAACACAAAGAGAGCTGGAAAAGAGGAAGGGAACAAGCCTTTGGACTAGGGTGTCAGAAGCAGCTTCAGCTGGGAACAGAGCTGACACGGGTGCAGACAGCTAAACTCAGTGTTGGTTTAACACCTACAAGACTGGTATCTGATCAGGCAGTTGTCAATTATCTCTAAATAATTAAAACCAGCTGGAATTTAATGATCATGCTGTAACTGTCATCTTCAATTTAGGTCTGGATGGTCTATATTGAGCTTAACTCTATATTAATGCATTCCAGCTGATTAATGAATACAGATTTTAAGACGTTTACCACCTGTACTACAGCGTTCATGTCTGACAGTCTTCCCATGCCTCCAGAAATATGTTTCTAATGACGGGTGGTGCATTTAATAAATAGTGTGCATTATAACCTTTATTAAAAATAAATTAAATCCCTATTAGAAACACCTCATTTGCTGTGAACTGACAGGTTTCTTGCTGCAGTCATTCTGGGCAGGCGATGAAAAGAGAACCTAGCCAGAGGACACAGGTGTGCTGCACAGCTTCCAGTGAGGTTAGCAAACTGTTGTGTCTGCTCTGGATCTGCAGATAAGGATGCTTGCTCTGTTCTTCAAACCCTTTGCCAGGCGTCTGTCACGGGCTGTTACAGATGAGCGGAACTCAGGCTAGGTAGACCTCTGGAATGGTCTGGGGCAGTCATGCCCATGAGCGAGCCCTATTCCAGCCCAAGACCAGTAGCTACTACGTGTTTGGGGAAAAAGGGTAAGTTTATAAACATCACAGGCTCAAGTAACAGAGTTCAACCATGGATTCAGCCAGCAAATGCTTCGTGCTGCAGGATCCTGGGTACTGGCTTGGTCCCGTACGAAGAAGAGTGGCTACTTGCTGCACCCAGACCAGTTTCAGACACTGCACAACTGCAGCACTCAGAGGTATCCTAACGCTTGAGTGAGTCATCTTCACCCCTGCACACGCAATGAGAAAAAGCTTCAGCACAGCCTGGAACCTCATTGTTCTGTTTCCTTACCTACGACGGAGAGGACCAGCAAGATGCTGCAGATGACAATGGAGACGATGATTGCGGTCTCTCCTCCCCCAAGGTGCAGCATCGCAATCGTGTAGTTGAACTTTCCAACTTGGATCTAGAGAGGAAGAAGGAAAAGCAGGAGCTGAGCAGCACGTTGCCAAACGGCTTGGAGGTCGAACAAGGAGGGACTATGGGGCAGTGCTTGGATGACCTTCGCCCAAGGACATACTGACCACACTGGCTCAGCCCACCAGGCTTCACGGGGAGGCTGGGGTGTGTCTTTCAACTGCGTGTCTCAAAGGAGCCCAATTCCCTTCCTGCAGGCTTGGGTGGAAAGCCGAGGCCAGCTCATGGCAGGCTGCGGTACCGCAAGGGTGCCCATCCTAGGGCCACCGCAGGGCTTCGGTAGCAGAGCCACAGGCTCCAGCCCACGTCACGGCCCTGCCCTACCCAGCCCACAGCACGAGACAACCCTTTCTTAGGGAGCTCCTCACACCATATAGTACTGCCTGTACTACTTTTACTAGAAAACTACTTCCACTGATCATCTATCTGCCTTTGTTATGTCTCTGACTGGCCTTTGAATCCAGACACGTTCTCCGTTCTCCTCCAAAAGCAGGACTACTGCTACTCTAGAGGAAAAGGGTAAAGAAACTTTTAAGTAGTTGAAATACAAATAAAGTAAGGGCATACAAATAAATAATAATGAGACCAGAGACGAGTAATGATCTTGTGGCTAAAGCAGTGGACTGGGTGTCAGGAGGTGCTGGCTCTGCTCCCAACCCATACTTCTTATGACACCAAGCACAAACACTTGAGCTCAGTCCTTCGGTCTCCTGATTGCCAGAAGCGAAGAAGCCAACACACATCACAGGCAGGCTGGCGGGTTTACCCAGCGCTGTTTATAAATGGCTCTCTAGGCCGCTGGGATGAAAGGGTTCAACAGCATCATCTGATAAGGAAAACTCATGACCACACAAGTCTTTCGCTTCTGGAAATGTGAGTTTCACTTCTCCCAAGGAATGAGAAGTGAGGGAAACTTGAGCAAAAAAACCCCTGAAACAAGGTAGGGAAGAGATGGAATAATCTTACAATTACATTTGTGTCATGGAGCACCTCTGGGCAAGGTGCACACTGTGGTTGAATTACAGTCAGCAGCTCGGCCAAAGGGGTGCCCCAAGGAGGGCCTTCCCCACCATGCCCATAAACCGAACACCACAAAGCGCCGGGAAATCCAAGCCCTTGCTGAATCCAGCTGGAGGCACCCCACCAAGCCCGGAGGTTTGCTCCTGTGCTGCTCCTCCACAGGCAAGAGATGATGACTCTGCCCCAGGCAACACTGCCTGCCATCACCTGGGGTCAGGAAAACCTTCAGCGCCTACCACCATCAGTGCTGGACCACATGGCCAGACTCCTGCGGCTCCAAGCCCCAACGTGCCCTTGTACCAGCCCTTAAACAGACTCTGGCAGTGGTGGTTTGTGGGGTGGTGCCTCCGGACAATGTCCAACACCAAGAGCTTGGGTGTCCTCTCTGGTGTGCGCTGGCTGGGAGCTGAGATGCTGGGTGGGGTCAGGGAGCCATGAGTGCAGGCATCTGTGGAGGTTCATTTGACAGTCTGCACAGTATCCTGCCTAGCCTCCAGATTTCCACCTCTCTCCTATGAAATGCTGCCATGAGACAAGTCCTTGATGCATTTTGAGTCTTTTTTTTTTCCCCACCAACTCAACCTTTTGCATTTGCCAGAGGAGAAATCCCACACTTGTTGTTTAATTCAGTGTTTGAACAGTTTGGTCGTGAACAAAAATGGGTTTGAAGGCTTCAGCAAGCTTCTCTTGTTTATATGGACAGGTCTACCCAATACAATCTTTTGTAAGGGGGTTTAATTAGGCTGCAGGCTAAATTAGGCTGCGCCCTGTCACCAGTATGTTGGGGGGTGCAGAAGGGGCTGGAGTTGTTGGGGTTGGGCAGGACCCCTGCAGCATGGGGCCACCTCAGGGGTCACTGGGAACCACTCTCCAGCTTATGGGATGGAGCCATACTGCAGCCTCCCAGGGTGCGAACTGGGAGTGCGAATCCCTTTGGGACAAAACCAAACCAAAATCAAGCTCCAGCTCACCCTGGGCACTACCAAAAGAGCTACTTGAAAGTGACCCCCAAAACACAGGGAGGCTCAGGAGCTCCATTGTCATGACTGGCTCCTTCTCTCTACAGACAGCTCCTGCTGCCCTGCGTGACTTGCTAACACGGCCCTGGCCCGAGAACACCTTCACAGAACAGGTATACCCAAAATCACGGTCAGAATTAAGATCAACAGTGGGACACATTTTAAAGGGCTGTTTTCCTGCGCTTTGATCACTGCAGATGTGAGCTCTACCATCTAAGCAAGAACAAACTGGGCAGTCACCACAACAGGCTCCTCAGCTCTCCAGAAGCAAGAACTGCCATCAGCAGGCGAAGCTTCTGCGGCCCCCGGCAGCCGCCCTCGACGCAGATCAGGCAGGCACCACTGCGCAAGCCTGGCCCTGTGTTATCGAAGCTATTACAAGTATGTTATAAAGGCAGGTGTTGCCTGCGAAATGGCCAGCAGGCGATACCTCAAAACACGTACGAAGGTTTAGTAAGCGCGCACAGACATGAATACAAGTTGATTATGTAGCTGGACTCCCACTGCTGGTACATTCTTAACAGCTATGTGATACTTTAAGGCTGGGTATCATTCTCCTGCTTCCTAAGGATCTGCTAGGCCATTACCCTGAATGTTTTATGTCAAACCAAGACTAGCAAACTCATAAATTCCTTTTCTTCCCCAAAGGGATTTCCCTGTGGCTCAGTTCTCACTAAAACCAAAATTACCCTATTTAAAATTTCCATTAAAATGACTTGGGAAATTCTGCTACTTCTGCATTTCCATGTTTCCAGTTTGCAACAGAATTTCATACCCCACAGATTGTAATCAGTAAACTGGACAACCCTGTCAGTGAATTCATTGTGCATCTTCCTGCCTTTCTTCTGAGCAGCGCGGAGCCCAGAGCCTCCTCAACTCCCTTCGCAGCTCTCCTCCTCCTCCTCCACCCTGCCGTGCCCTGGGCTCCCACACATCCACTGTCAACACACCGACTGGGAGGAGGCTGCAGGGTCTCAGACCACGGAGGTGGGGGCATTTGCTCCCCAGATACAAAGTGCCACAGTCATATCCCTCGTGGCAGTGACTGCATATGACATTGGGGAAATGGAGGGCGAGAAGAGCCATTAAGTCAAGCCCTCTGTGGAAAAAAGGACGGTCACAAAGTATTGGGAATTTTGCAGACACGAAGATGAACAACAGCCCAGAACACTGAATTCCTTGCAGTAACAAAGCTGCAGCCCCTGGGAAGCAACACAAAGTTTTCCAGCCCTGCGTACTCCCCTTGACCTCCCTGGTCACACACTGGGACTCATCTCCAGTGGCTTTTTGCAGCTTGGTAAGGGGTGGATTCTCATGTCCACTTGTAGCTCTTCTGCTGGCAGTAGGAGGCCAGCTGACAGAAAACAGTATGGAAATCCCCAAACAGAAAGAAAGAAAATTACTGCAAGTGACAAAAACTCACATGCCTGGGATTTCACAGTGCTTTACAAGAACTGACGAAACCTTCCCCTGCAGCTTACAGCACGGTTAACTCAGCAGGCAGCTGCTGATGCCCCATGAATCGGAGCGTGGCAGCCCCTCTCCATGACCGGGGGCAGCCTTGGCACTGACTATGCCTGCATCCTGCCCTCGAGCCGCTCCGGGGACAGCTGCAAGCACAGCCTGCTTTGTCCATCCTGCCCTCCGTGCGGCTACCGCAAGGCTGCCCGTTGGCTTGCCCGGCAGTTCCTGCCCACCGCACGCAGGGTTTGCCACAGGGACCCCTTCTGCCCTGCACGCTCGGAGCGTGGAGGCTCCTGGCACTCACCGTCACCGGTAACTGTCTTTCCGAAGTGCTCAGCGACTCATTGACAGAGCAGTGGATGACTTTGTCCGAAACAATCTGGATCTCGCATGAGATGAGGCCAATTTTCACTTGGTACTCATTGCTTTCCAGGCCCAGGCTGTCCGGCTCTTTCTGATGACAAAACAGAGCATCAGGATGTCAGTCTTTAGAGCAGCAGTCACAATCGCAACGGATTTTCCTGCTTTACTTTCTGTATTCCCTGCTGTTTTTCAGATCTGGTCTCCCTCTCCAAGGACATTTTTCCAGTGCTCCACAGGAAACCGAGAACTGGGCCATTCCCCATTTTCCTGTTTCCCATTCCTCACTCAGCATGGGGCATGGGGTGAGCAAGCCCCTCGTGGAACCTGGAAAAATCTGCTTTTGATCTGGCCGGGCTGTGCACTGCAGATAAGGATCTGAGCGCCCACCTGGGAGAGGGGAAGGATGTACAACAGGGGAGATGGCCAGGGGATGCGTCGGCAGAGCCTGAGAAAGGGGGAGTACGTTTCTGAAGCACGTTCAACTGGTGAGGATATCCTGCAGTGAACAATGGCCTTTGAATTCCTATTGCCCATTGTCCAAGCCATCCAATTGCTGCATCCCGACTTCCTTGTTAACTGCGCTGAATTCAGTAGCAAAAGAGAAGAATGCATGACCTGTTTCTGCAGGAATAAATATCTATTGTCAGGACCTTATGTAGTACCTGCCTGATTTCAGGCCAGTGCATTATTGTTCTTTTTCATATGTCCAGTGTTTTATTTAGCTTCTTGCTATTACATCCACCAAACACAACTGTCTGTCGTCATGCCTCAAAGGGCATCCCCGGGTCAGGCTGCATCTCCTGCCTCTCCTGACCTCATCTGCCCCCCTTCTCTCTCCTGCGTTTGTGCGCAGTCACTGTGCTGGCACTTAGGACTGAAGAGCTTCTGGGTGGTGAGCAGGGAACACCCCCAAGCAGAAGCAGAGCTGTAAATGCCACTCTCTTACGTGTATAACCAGAGTTAAGGGCTCGCCAGGATGGTGCTTGATCCACTTCTCCTTCTTGGCTGTGAAGAACTGGGGGTCGGCATAGTACTCCAGGCTGAACTTGCTGATGTGCAAGACCTCCTCAGGGTACATCTCCTCATCCAGAGCCGGACGGTCATCTGCGTAGAGCCGGCCATTGAGATAGAAATCAACGGGTGCAGGCTTGCTCCCCACGGTGATGTTGGAGGCAGCCGGGGAGGGGCAGGTGATCACAGTGTCGGTGTGAACCTTACAGCTCTGAGAGCAGGAGAGAACACGCACATCAGAAAACAGACATCCTGAGTGCTCCCACCCAGCCTTGCCCCCAGCCCAACCTGTAGCATGGGGTAAGCCCCAGCCTCACACCCCAAACAACTTCAGGCACTGGGCTCCCTGTTACCAGGCGATACCCAGCAGGGACACCCACCGTTGGCTCTCTGCCAATGCCACGGACCACCATGGACACATTCTGGACCAGCTCAAAGCCTCTTCCTTCCAAGGTGATGATCCTGCCTCCGCTTTGCAGAAAAGGGAAGAAAAGAGAGGGTGATTGCAGAGGGCAACACAGAACCGCGAGGTGCAATGGCTGGGTGTTGCCTGCTGTCATTCTCCCAGGGATGTTTTCCAGCTGCTTGAGCATAAAATGTAACCCAGCAGCCAAAGTCTTCCTCCTGCTTGCAGCAAGCACCCACACTGCTACCAAGATATCAGGGAGGGAAGGAGGAACAGCAGCTGCTGTGGTGGAAATGGGGGACGTCTGCGAGCAGCAGCAAACTGTTCCCCTTGCTCTCGCTCCCCAGAGGAGCGACCTGGCTCTGCATGCCAGGGGTATGCAGCAGTGTAAGAGGTTAACTTCCAACCCCTCAAAGCAAGGGCCAGGAGATATTTCCTGTCCTTGCCCCACAGCAACCTGCAGAGAACTGTGAGTTTGAGAGAGGGAAGAGACCCCTTTAAGGTTGACAGGGATCCTACATCTCCCAGACACTTCTGATTTTAATCAAAATGTGAAAGTTGTTTTGTGTTTTGGATCTGCTGCCTGGGGAATGCAAAACATGGGTCTCTCAATGTGCAGGCAATTAACGGCAGTAACGAGGGCCCTGATGCACACAAGATTGCAGAGCAAGGGGTGGAGAACAAGTTATGCCCTGGGTTTGCCTTCCCCTTTCTCCATCTCACACTTGGAGTATCTGTCAGGAGCAGTCAGGACTTACAGATCACACTATCTCAAGACCACTCCAGACACTGTGACCTTGGGTCCAAGGCCCCAAAAATCAGGTTGTCTGAAATCTTTTACAATGCTGTAGGTATTACCACGCAGTTATGATCCAAGTTTCTAACTAAGAGCCTGTCACATCTGCAGACTAGTTTACAACTTCTGTCTTGTTTTAAGCTTTGCTTACACGAATTAGTTTAGCAATGTGGTAAGATAAATCAGATCCAGCTAGATTTTTACACAAGTTTTTGACCCCTCACGGTCAACAGCCCAACAACGCACTGGAGCAGTCCGGCTACACGAGCCACCAAGCAGTCTGAAGAGACTGCTGTCGTGTTCTCAGTGGTCTGAAATTTGGAAATTGGTGTTAACACTGAAAAAGCAGATAAGGTGATGGAGAAATACCCTCGTGGTTTCCCTTGCGACTATGGGCAGTGACGTTCTCCCGCTGTCTCTGTGTTTAGATACGGCTCTCGCCGCTCAGCATAGCTTGCAAGCCTGCTAGGAGCTGGGGTTGGCTGAGTCACTGCTGTGCCTTGTCATTAACTTTCCCACAGCCTGCATCTTTGGCGCTGCGCTTGGGAATGTGGAGACGCGGCTTTGCTCCAAGGGGATCAGACCATCAGAGCCCGCTGCGTGCTCGCACCCAAGCGTGCTGCTTTCAGCCTGCAGGCACAGGCGCTGAACTTTCAGATCTCTTGGTCAGCCCAGGGTTTTACAGGCTCCACAGCTGACAAAGGTGGGATTTCACCATGGTATCCAAAGGAATAGGAGCCTGAGAGCTCCATGGAGAGACATGAAATTAAAAGCAACACGCTTTAAAAATGAAATACTGTGACCTTGGGAAGGCTGAAATCCAAAATTACAAATCTCAGCTTATCCTCCAGCAGTTTTACTGCCAAGAAAAATCCTCAGGGTCTCATAGAGCCCCCCACCTGAACCTCCCTAAAGCACCCACCAGGTGTACACAGTACAGTTACTAAGGCTGACTTTTTTCCATGTCTTAAATGCACTGAAATGAGCAACAGACAGTCCTGGTGTGTAAGATCTCTTCTACTCCAGTGCTGGGGTATCCCGAAGCACCCTGAGCGCACTCTGCGGTGCCCCTGCTGTACCTGTCTGCAAGGCAATGTGTCAGACCCCAGGGCTGAGAACGTCCCTTTCTCCCTGCAGGACCCTCTCCCACCAGCCTGGAGCCGACCCTCTTTTGCAGGCAGATGTAGACACATGCCAGCTCTGACACGGAAGTCAGGATGCTACAACAGCGTGGCACAGAGCCCGGATACTGTGTCCTGCCTCCTGGCTGTGCATCAATGCCTCCTGGGGTTCTGGACATGGGATTTACGCAGGATCTACTCTGCTCCTAGGTGGCTTGAAGCACAGACCGGGTGAGCTCACATTGCCTGCAGCAGGCTACACCAGGATACTCCCCTTAGCCCTGTGCTTTGACGGGAGAGCACTATTCACTTTTGCATTTGGCAAAATTTAAGAGGCTGATCTCAATAGAGGCCACAAATCCTGGCAGACTTGGCTGTCTGTTGGGAGAGGGATCTCACCTGATCTGGCTCTTTTTGGGGTTGATGTCTGATATAATCGGGTTCTTCTCATACTTGAACGTGATGTTGTAGCTGGCACAAGACTTGTTCTCGAACTGGACACAGACCCGCACGGCCGTGGTGATGTCTGCCGACGGCATGGTGCAGGTGATGGTGCTGTCGTTGCGGCTGCGCAGGGAAAGGCAGGATAAGCTGCAGAAAGCCACGGCAGACAGAGCAGCCGCAGCCAGGCACCGCAAACCCAAACCCCTCCGGGGAAGCGAGGTGGTCAGCAGAGACAGGCAAGAAGGAGGTTCCAGTCACATGCCAATCACATACTGATTACATTGCCTACTAATAAGTAATTCTGAGCATACACCACCCGAGGCTGCCAGGCTGATTTCCCATACAGCCAAAGGAAAAGTGCAGGCTCCTACTTCTTTCCACTGATGAGATGGGAACATACAGGAGGAGAGGTTTCTTCTGACCCGTGAGCTGCTGCAGAAGCAGAACCCTGGGCATGCAGGTGCCTTCTGCTTCCAGCGGATGTAGGAACAAAACCCATGTCTGCTTTGCTCCCAGGGTTTTGGTCCTGGTCTCAGACCACCCAAGGGGCCTGGCAGCATCCTGTGAACAGTGCATGACAAGCGCCTTGTTTGCTGCTGGTCGCCACCGCTGCATCACAGCAACACCAATGCCAGTGCCTTGCCAAAGAGTCACCCCATCCTGGTGTCAGACACCTGCACCTCAGCTTTGCCTCACCACTCCAGGGATACCAGCCTGACTGGGCACTGGTGGCTGCCAAGCACTTGGTGGCTGCCAAGCGGGCCAGTGGGGATGCTATGCTGGCTCCATGGCTACCAGCAGCATGCAGTGGTGCCCCCCACCCGAACTCGAGTTCTTCCTGATCTCCTGGGGGCCAATATCATCCTTCTTAACACCTTGTCTCATCACCAGTTCAGTGCCAGTCCCCAGACCCAGTCCCACCTGAGGTCAGTGCACTGCTTGGAGGTGTTGACGAGGACGCGGAGCTCAGAGCCAACATCCAGTCTGCTGCCTCTGATGGTCACTCTGGTTCCTCCAGCCTTCGGACCATTCAGGGGAGCTATGGACTGCACCAAGGGAAGCTAAAGACAAAGGGAATAACTGTTTTTAAGCCTGGTGGAATTCACATTTGGATACTCCACACTGCACATGGAAACTGCTTCAGTAAGTTTAAGTATCTGTTATTGTGAGGCTCTGGAAGAGCAGCACAGCAAAAGCTTTCACTGGCAGGGTTTCAGAACAAGGAGAGGGGTACAAGTGCTGAGGACTGAGATAATATAAAACCTCTGCAGTCCCTAAATTCTGGCAATAAATGACACATGACTCCAAACGAGCCTAGGATCCCACCAGTCCCTTTTGATTTCCAGAGGAGGGTCTGGAGCTGGTGACAGCTCAAGGTCCATCAACAAAAGGAAATTTCTCATTAATTCCAGCTCCCACCATCTCTGCCCTTCCAGATCCATTTCCTCCTGAATGCAAAGCTAATGCCAAAGCCCCTCCGGATGATGGTCTTGAGATCTGTGAAAGCAGTCACCTGGGTCTAGATAATTGAATATCAAACTCCTTCTTAAGGAAGCTTCAAATCTGAATCTCTTGAGGCGACAGGAACTAAGGGGGAAGTTACTTTGCCTCTCACCATTTTCAGCAGAAATTAGCATGTATGTTATCTGCATTTGCAGCCCCTGGAAATCTTCCTGAGATTCACGAGCTGGAGGCTTTGATAACTAGTGCAGCACTGAATCCTCGTGCCTGCTGCACAGAGCCCCCCCCAGAGAGTCTGCTGGGCAACCTCCCCGTTCAGGTTTAAGCAGCACACCAAGGGCAGAGCAAATCGTTATTTCAGGACCCTTCCAGAAGGCAGTTGGTACTTCCCTGTCCAAGGCCGCACACCCTGGAGGCCCGAGGCCCGCTGGGCTGCGGAGCCCGGCTGAAGCCTGCTTACTGCCAGAGCCCATCCCTCGCTGCAGCCGCAGAGCAAAGCTGTACCCAGGCAGACTGAAGAACACCGGCTAAGCTGCTTCAGGCCGCCTGGTGCCAATGCCCTTTCCTGTCAATCCCAGCCACACAAACATGCTTATTAATAGCTATCCTTGTCCTTGTCCTACATGCAGGCTGCTTTATTTCTCTACAGCCATTTCCTTTGTTGTTTCTGACCATTACCCACTTCCAGGGGATTCATTTTGTTAATTTGTGTTTCTCTGAGTGTCTGCAGGTAGCCGTCTCCTGCCCTTGGCCCCTAACCTATGCATTCAAATCTGCAGTTACAACAACAGCAGAGAGGATTATTCATGTTCCCCAAAGCCTTCCAGCTCTTCCCCTCAGCAAGAGCCAGTGGCTAGTGCTCTCAGTGCATGGCCAGCACTGATTGCCTCTATCACAACTTCTGCAAATTCAGCTGATCCACAGCCTGCTATCATGTCTGGAGAAGTCTCTCGATCACATTTCTCTCTCCTCCTTGGCAGAATTATAGTTGAATACCATCTCTTTTAGATACATCTAACGGGTACTTTGAAAGATGTAGCACACAAACAATATTTGGTATTTTACAAGGGACTTTGGAAGGGCAGTTCTAAAAGTCTTTTAAACTTTTTCAGGTAAACTGCTCAACCTCAAGTCTCACTGAGACCAGTCTTGCATGGTGTAGTCTAATCCATCTTCATACCCTTGTTTCTGAGGGGAGAATCAAGAAAACTAAAGGGCATTGCTTAGTTTGCAAATGGTGCAAAAGCCACATGTGGTGTGGAACACAGCAGCAGCTCCACATCGTGCTGCTTCACTCCCTGACAGGCACAGAGCAGGGCACTGTCTCATCTCCTCTCTAAACTTTGCTGAGACAGACACAAGACAGCTTTCTGCTGTGCCACCTGAGCAGAAAACGGCTCCTCTCCTGCTCCCGGGCCGACAGCCTTTGCCATGAGCCTGCTCAGGAGCTGCCAGCACAGAGCTGTCACGGACACGGTCTGAGTCCAGCGACTGGCTTTTGCTCCTGCTTTGTTTAGCGCTGGTGCTTCTACAGGTGTTTCCTGAGAGGGCTTTTCCTCGCACGCCAAAAGCTGGCGAAGAAGCTGCCCAGCCCTTTCCCACTCTTTGGGCCCTTCTCCTCTTTGTCCAGAAGACAATCGGACCGGCAGCGGGTGATGTGGCTGAGTCAGCACACACATCCTGATGGCAATGCAGCAGAAACCCAAACCCAAGGTCTGTTACGGGGTCGTACCCCAGCTGCACCTTCCTCCACTCCAGACTGCTGGATGTCTCAAGACATTTTGGATGTGAACACGGACACCTGGAAAGGATGGGAATGGGTCCCCTTGTGCACCTGGCTCTGCTCTAGGGCACCGGGATGTGCCATGTCTGTGCTGGCTGCATTCTTTGTAAACCTCCCTGAACTAAATACCTAACACGCAATCAGTTACAGGGTGGGGGATTACACCCCATGATCCAGCCCTAAATTCCACACAATGGCTACCAGGAATCAAATGTCTTTACTTGGGGCTCAAGTCTCCTTTCAAGCCACTAGACTGCAGCACAGTCTGTTCTTCCCCAGCACAAGCACAAAGGCTCCGAGTAAACAGCACGCCCTCGGCACCCATCCTGTTGTGTTTGCCCTGGACACGTGGGGCTGCCCATGAATAGCGTCTAGCCAGAGACCAGGGTGCTTGTTGGAAATAGAAGAGCTGCATGGATTTCTTTGAGGTTTATAGAGATGAAAGTTATCTTTGTGAGATGGTACACTAAAAAGCTATAAAGGGCTTTTCTTTGTATAATGACACAGGGTTAGCTCAAGTCTAATCCCTGCACATTATTCTCATGCAAAAACTAAGACAATCTCTGCAGAAAAAAATATCAGTTCTAAATAACATGAGTCCATGGTACATCACTTATACAGCACAAAGAGACTTCGCAAGTCTCAAGAAATCTCACAGGTTGTAACAGCACTTCAGCAAAAGAGCAGGAAAGAAAAATGAGCTCCTTTTTATAGCAGGAGAAACAATGATCCAGGCAGAATAAGTGATAAGCCACTGCAGGAGCTGAGGCTGTGCGTGTGACACCCTGGCTGCAGTGCTGCCCCTCGCACTCGAGCCCGGATGTGCCAGACCTCGCGCAGGGAACCCCAGCTGAGGGATAACATCAGCTGCTCCTCGAGGACCCTGATGCTTTTTGTCGTAGATCCTCTTTCTAAAACAGCTGGGGCACAGAGGATAGAAGCTTGTTTTAAGGGGGTGCAGGGAACGTCAGAATCACCGAAGAAACACCCAGGAAGGACCTACTCACCACGTAGGAGTATCGCTCCCTGGACTTCCCTTCCCGGCTCACGTTAACCGTCACCACATCAGAAAACGTCTCCTGAGCCTCCCCGGTCTGACACACAATCCTGCGGACAGGAAAGGGCAGGTTGGCATCGTGCTGCTCCACCAGAGCAGAGGGGCAGCGCCTCCTCCTCCTCCTCCATGCTCTGCCCGTGCCTACTGCAGGGGAGGGCCGGGCAGCATCCCCGCCCTCCCCCGTGCCTGGCCGAGGGCACCCACATCCCACCTGGACCAGGACACGGCCCAGCATGCCAGGCGGGTGGCCACGAGGCCAGAAGGCATGGGCAGGGGACACAAAGAGAAGAGGCACCTCCTTGCTGGCTCTCCCGACACTCACATCTCGGAGACGACGTATCTGTCAGGCAGCGGCGCGCACTGCACGCTGCCGATCCTGACGGCGCCGAGTATGTCGCTGAAGCGTCGGCCCAGGTTCCTCCCGCGGATGGTCAGCAAGGTGCCCCCCTCCAGCGGCCCGCGCAGCGGCTCAATCTGCGGCACCAAGGGAAAGGCTGGAGGAGGACCGCCCGGAAGCTTCTGGCAGCCGTTGCTGAGTTGCTGAGCCTGTGCCTGTGTCCAGCTCCCACTTGGCCCCCATGAAGAAGACAGAATTGCTCCCCATGCTCCCACTCCCCCACAGCAGGCCCACTGCCATGCTCCCCTTGCTGCAGCTTTGCAAACGAGAAGCTGTCACTGGGTTTGGTACCGGGTACAGGGATTACTCCAGCTGCAAACACATCTGGGGTGGAACATCACTCCTTCCACACCACAGTTTTGAATGGAGTTGGGGCAGAGACAAACACGAACACTTGGAAACCCAGACACTTGGAAGACCAGAGGAAGGATGTTAGTGTGCTGGGAAGAGAGAGTCCTGCCATCACATTTTTAAGCATGGGCCTGAACACAGCAGGGCCTTTCAGGACAAAAACCAGACGAAAAGTGTCCTGATGCAGGCAGCGTGGCCAAGACAGCAGCACTGCGGCACCGCAGCGTGCAGCACAAATCCAGTGCCATGGGAGAAAAAGGCTGCTCCCCATCCATCTCCTACACCACTGCGTTTTCAGCTGGCAGCTGCTGACCCCACGGCTGCGAGGGGACAGGGTGCTGGGCATGATGCTGTTCCACTGCACGAGGGGCAGCGTGACTGCATTATTCAGGGGAGAGACAAAACCCT